TATCGGGAGAGACGTGGGGGAAACGGCGGAAGGAGATGGAAGGGTAAGACTGAGAAATGGAATGGATGTAAGAGGTGACACCAGGAGTGTCCATCCAGCCGGTAGTTAGGAGGATGGTGATGGAGAATTGGTGGCCGCCGTGTTGCATGATGAGCTTCCCTAGCTGCACCATGGACACTATGTGTCCCATGCCGGGTGCCGCATAAAGAACAACTGTTTCTTGCATTTTTTTTTTTTTAATTCTTCTCTAATTCTCGAACTGAGTATACAGAGTGTTAGAAAACAGAAAAGAAAAATAATTTGAAGAAAGGTTTATTGTTTTCTTGAATCATACTATATGTACAATAACTTATATATAGATATTTATAAAGAGAATATTCTAAAGTATAAAGTATATAAAGAGAATATTCTAAAGTATAAAATATTTACAATAATTCTGCATATAATTGTGTTCGCATCTTAACATCCCACTCAAACTGAAGGTGGTTATGATGAAATCAACTTGAGTTTGGAAAGAAAAGTACGAAAACGTTCAGGAAAATGAGCCTTGGTAAAGAGATATGCCAGTTGATCAGCGAAACCAATGAAAATCAAATGAACAGTTCCTTGTGCAACATGATGGCGAATAAAGTGACAATCAATCTCACTGTGTTTAGTGCGTTCATGAAAGACATCATTATGAGCAATTTGCATAGCTCTTTGATTATCACAATATAAATCAGTAGAAGAAGGTTGAGGAATGCCTATATCTTTAAGAAGCCACCGCAATGAAAGGAGTTTTGATGTGGTATCCCCGAGAACTCTATACCCAGCTTCAGTACTAGAGCGAGATGGAATAGTTTGTGTCTTACTTGGCCACGAGATAAGAGAATTACCAAGGAAAAGATAGTAACCAGTGGTAGATCTACGATCAGAAGGATCACCAGCCCGATCAGCATCAGAGTAAGCGTGAAGCATAAGGGAGGAGTTGGCAGAAAAATGGAGTCCATGAAATAATGTTCCCTTAACATAGCGAATAATGCGAAGTACTGTCGCATAATGAGTGGAGCGAAGAGCAGCCATCAATTGACTAACAATGTGAACTGCATATGCTATATTAGGGCATGTCGTAGTAAGATAAACCAGACTACTAACCAATTGCCGATAATGAGTAGGATCAGAAAGTGGAGAGCCATCCATAGGTGTAAGCTTGACATTAGGTTCAAGAGGTGTAGAAACACTCTTACCATCATTGAGTTTAGCTTTAGAAACAAAATCGGAGGCATATTTTACTTGAGAAAGCAGGTAGCCATCATTTGAAGAGGTCACTTCAAGAACCAAAAAATAGCTCAAAACACCAAGATCTTTCATCTCAAATTTTTGACTGAGAGATTGTTTTAACACCTGCAACATTATCTCCAGTAATAATCATGTCATCAACATAAAGAAGTAAAAGGACCATACCTCGAGCAGTCTTACAAATGAACAAAGCTATATCATGTGGACTGGAAATAAAACCAAACTCACTCACAATAGCACTAAACTTTGCATACCAGGCTCGAGGGGATTGCTTCAACCAATATAATGCACGACGCAATCGACATACCTTATTTGGAGGATGGTTGAGCATAAGAGGTGGTTTCATATAAACTTCTTCTTCTAGGTCACATTAAGAAAAGCATTTTACACATCCATCTGAAACAATTGCCATCTCCACATAGCAACGATAGCAAGCAAATTGCGCACAGATGTAAGACGAGCAACTGAAGCAAATGTCTCCTCATAGTTGATTCCATACTCCTATGTAAAACCCTTGGCAACCAAGCATGCCTTATAATGCTCCACAGAACCATCACATTGTGTTTTAATCTTGTACACCCATTTACAACCTATTAGAGATTTTTCAACAAGGAGATCAACTAAATCCCATGTACGAGTGTTCTCAAGAGCTTGTAACTCATCTTACATAGTTTGTTGCTAAAGAGGGTTAGAAGAGGCCTCTTGATAGGATTGAGGCTTATGTAACGAAGTAATAGCAAGAAAACAATGATAATCACGAAGGTAGTTGGGAGGGTTTCTTACCCGAGTAAGATGACTCAAGGATGGGACAACAAGCTCATTTGTAGAATCAACAGGTGATATAGACAAGGAAATAGAAGAAGGCTCAAAATTATCTAATGTATTACCAGTAGGCAGATCATCTTCTACAGAACTAGTTGGAGCATGTGGTGAGGCATTGTAGAGCTCATCAGATGTACCTGCATTAGAATAACTAGGAAATAGCTTAATAAAAAGATTAGTAAAAAATGGAGGTTGATGAAAGGATGACACTTTGAAGTTTGACAATGATGAGAACATAGTGTGTTCCCAAAAGACAACATGACATGAAACTCGGAGTTTTTGTGACACAAGATCCCAACAACGATATCTTTTTTGTGTAATCCCATAACGAAAAAAACAGCATAATCGAGCTCTAGGTTCTAGCTTGTTATGTTCATAAAGTGGAAGAAGAACAAAACATACACAACCAAAAACCTTAAGAAGATTATAAGTAGGAAGAATACCATGTAGACACTCGTATGGAGGCTAGTTATTAAGGACTGATGATGGAATGCGATTAATAAGATAAACAGCTGTAAGAGTAGCTTTACCCCAAAATCGCTTTGGACAAGAAAATGAAATGAGCAGAGCATGAACAGAATCAAGGATGTGTCTGTGTTTGCGTTTGACTCGCCCATTTTGTTTAGAAGTATAAGGATAAGATTGTTGTGGCAATGTACCCTGTTCTTTCAAAAAGGATTGAAGTTTAGTACCAAAATGTTCAGTAGCATTGTCAGTTCTCAAAACTTTGATAATTTTATAGAATTGAGTTTTGACCATAGTAGCAAAATCAATATAAATTTGTGATAATTCAGAGCGATTTTTCTTAAGGTATATCCAGGTAAAATGAGTATGATCATTAATAAATAACACGAAATACCTGGAACTCCCTATGGTAGGTGTAGAAGATGGACCCCAAACATAAGAATGCACGATATCAAAAGGAGCAGTAGAATGAGAATGACTATTTGAAAAAGATAAAGCTAGTTGCTTTGCAGATTAACATGACATACAATGCATAGATTCATTTGGAATTGATTCTAATAAACCACAAGAGATAAGTGGATGAAGTTTACCAACTGAGGTATGTCCGAGTTGTGAGTGCCACAAATGGAGAGGAGAAATGTTAGTAGCAGCACAGGCTTGGAAGATTTGTTGATATGGAATTTGTAAAGATTCTAATTCAATAGCACAAAGTAGGATTTGGATGAATCGATCATTTGGAAATGATGGTGTATCCATTTTATTATCAGGAATATGTAGATAGTTGAGCTCAAACAAACACCCCACCTTGCGACCAATTCCAAGAAGTTGTCTTATCCATGGGTCCTGCACACAACAACCATGAGCAAAAAATGTTACTTCAAGACCAAGATCACATAATTGACTGACAGATAGAAGATTATAACTAAGTTTTGGAACTAAAAGGCCATTTGGTAAAGTCAATGACTTTGTAGAAGCATTGCCAATGTGACTAACATTCATAGGGGAACCATCAGCAGAATAAATATCAAGAAATGAATTATTAGGTGACATTGAAGAGAAATGAGCAGTAATTGAAGACATATGGTTACAATAACCAGAATCGAAATACCAAGGTTTGGTACCCGGAGCAATAGATAGGGCAATAAGAGCATTAAAAAGATTTAATATCACTTGTTTTAGGGATTCAAGGTTGACATTATATTGTTCTATCACTTCTTTGGCAACCATAGCAGTAGCAGGATGAGTTACAATCTTTTCAAAACTCGTCATAAAATCAGTAAACTCACAATACTGAAAAACTCTAAACATATGAAGAAATAGATGCCAAGATTGAAATAACAAACCAACAAAATACCTTAAAAATGGCCTGAGAATCGAGGATAAACAATTCAATCTGTAGGAAAAGAGATCCCAACGACAAAGTTTCAAATTTGGAATGGAATTGAAAATCCAACTCCAAAAAAAACCCAACAACAATGATAAGAAAAAAGAACCAGAAGCTTATAGCTCCGATACCATGTTAGAAAACAGAAAAGAAGAATAATTGAAGAAAGGTTTATTACTTTTTTGAATCATACTATATGTACAATGACCTATATATAAGTATTTATATAGAAAACATTCTAAAATTTAAAGTATACAAAGAAAATATTTTATACTTTAAAACACATTCATAAATCATAAGGAAGAGCTCAGATGAACCACAACATTGGTAATTATTGTATCATGCCA